TACACTTACTTCTGAAAATTTATTTCACTTCCTATCCTATTTCCCCACCCCACAAAACTCTGTAACTACCGTTTTTGCAGGACCAAATGCTGGGACTAGGGGTATATGAGTGGGGCTACATAAGCTACTTTTGCGAATCCAATTATCTTTTTTATCAAACTTAATGAGTATTTAGTGATAATGATGGTTTTTGGTCTTTTCTTTCCTACGCGTCACTTATAGAAGATGACCTTTCTATTATTGTCTTCTATGATGAATGATCGAGTAGAAAAAACTTTATTTTAAGAATGTTTTCATCATAAGTGCTATAGCTAAGGCATATGAAACCTGTCAACCTACTGTCAGTGTTTCGAGGTTATCGAGTTCACTTATTGAGAAAGTTGGTGCATAATAGTTGTGTCAACCTGTTGAGGACTGTTGTCTAAATGTTGACGAAATTTTATGCGGGAGGCGGTTCGTTCATACTTAATCTCCCAGTATAATTTGTTTACAGGACTACCTGAAAAGCCTCGAACTGCGTCTCCGTGATACCACTGAAACAGCCGCCGTTCGGGAGCGTGATACGCTTGCCTTGACAGATCGTGTGCAGGAGCTGGAAGCGTCCACGGAACTCCTGCGTCGAACGCGGGACATTGCTGAAGAGAAGTGCTGCAAAACTAAGGTGCGCCTTTTGTCTGATTTAACGTCTTATAATTTGACATTCTACGCTTTTAGGAAGACTGCTGAGCTAATGCTTCCTCTGAGAAAAGAGTGCTTCACGCACTTGCTGTCCTTATATAAGCTGCAGACTTTTTAAAGTCCAGCGTTCCTCTCTTTCCGTGTGCATGACTTACTTTCTGTCTGTTTCGAGGCGAACGAAAATAAACTTTGCAATCTATTAAAGTAATATTTCTGAAAACGCAAGTTAGAAGATGTTTTCTCGCTGACTGTTTCTTCCTTGGTTTAAATAAATGTGCTACTACCACTGTTTCAGGAGATATTAAGTTATGCCTAGTTTCGAGTACACATATATCCTTTGGTAAATCCAGTCAAATAGGTATCGCGTATCAATGTGTGTTCGGCCATCCGTTTCGATGAAGTCCATTAAGCGCAACAACGGGTTGGTGCAGAAGGTGACGGGCCTCAGGGGGTAGATTGTAGTAATAGCGGACATAGTTGGCGCCAAGTGCACTTTTAACCTTCGCTAACGGTCAAGAAGACCAAACGGGACCCCGGCGTTGGCCGCTTTCTCCAATGCAAGCCAGAAATACTGCCTAGCTTAGTCTAATGCGACAGTTAACGTTGCGCGCGTACTACCGCACTACCTACCCTCACTCACCCTTGGGAGGTGTCAAGACAGGCTCAAGGAGGCCGAGACTGATACGACTACCACTATTTCTGCAAATACTGACTAGCAATGTAGCTGAGTCTTAGTAGTACTTGTACTATTACTGACGCTAGTATTAGTCAGAGGTGACCCTCGTTAAAGTCAGCGCTAGGGCTCATACCCTCTTGATCTCAGCAAGGAGTGTGAAACCTGGGTTTATGGTTTTTAGGGTAAATACATTGTGGCGGACGGCCACAATGCCTATTCTCCCTTCGTTCTTCAGGTCTCGCCGCCCCAAAGTCATGCGTTGTCACAGACAACTGTTCCAATGCTTT